TCTGTTTCAGGGTTCAGGGTTAGGAGACCCACGTGCCTGCAGATGATGAGTCACGTGTCTGATGAAAACCCCGTGAAGAGTAAAGGTGCTATTTTGGCATTTTACTCTCAGTGGGTACAGTTTTCAGATGGTGAACGGGAGCTTGTGTCTTAGTCTAACCGAGCTGATATCACAGAATACCATGCATTGGGTGGCTTAACAACATTTATTTCTCCCAGCTCTGGGGACTGGGAGTCCAAGGTCAGGGTGCTGGCAGATTTGGGGTCTGGTGAGGACCCTCTTTCCTAGCTCGTAGTTGGCCACCTTCTCCCGTATCCTCGCATGGCAGAGAACAGAGAGAGAAAGAGATCCTGTGCCTTCCGTCTCTTCTTCTTAAGGGGCCCCTAATCCCATTCATGAGGGTATCATTCTCATGACTTCATCATCCGCCAAAGGCTCCATCTCCAAATATCCTCACTTTGAGGGTTAGGCTTCAACATATGAATTTTAGAAGAAAGAAGCATTCAGCCCATAGCATCTAGTGACAGAGTTACCTCCAAGCCCAAAAGTTAACAAAGCTACATCTGAGGTACCATGGATGGTCCTCAGAGCATCACTACCCTTCTCTATGTCAGCCACGACCCATGAAACACGGCCAGAAGCTAAGAAATCTTCTTGGGAATGGTTAAGGGGGCTAAGGCAATCACATTCCCCTTCCATAGTCAATTCCCAGTCAAGGCTCTGCCTAAATGCCTTCACCCTCCCCTGAGGGTGGAAATGGTGCCTGTCCTCAAACCATATGTATGGAGGGGGAGGAATTGTGGGGTGTTGTGCTTATATGTTTGTGGTGTGTGGTGTACAGTGGTGTGTGTGTGTGTGTGTGTGTCTGTGGTGGAGGGTGCAGTGTGTGTGTTTGTGGTAAGGAGTATGGTGTAGTGTGTTTGTGCGTGGTGAGGAGTGAAGGGGATATGTGTGTGGTATGTGGTATAGTGTTGTGTGTGGGGGATGGTAAAGGGGGTGTAGTGTGTGGTATAGTGTGTGTGTGGTAAGGGATGTGGTGTAGTGTGGGGTGTGTATGTGTGGTGGAGAGTGAAAGGGGTGTGTAGTGTATGGTACAGTGTGTGTGTGGTAAGGGGTGTGGTGGGGGTGTGGTGTAGTGTGGAGTGTGTATGCATGGCGGGGTGTGAAGGTGGTGTATGTGTGGTGTGTAGTATCGTGTGGTGTGTGTGTGTGGTGGGGGGTGCCGTGTGGGGATACAGTGGGGGCATATGTGTGTACATGTATGTGTGGTGTATGTGGGGGGCGGGAGGTGGTACATGTGTATGTTGGTTCCTAAACTTTCTCCAACCAAGGGTTCACTTGGCAGCAATCTCATCTCTTCGAGCCATTGAAGATCGTGTACGGGTCATTCCTCGCTGCACAATTTACTCCAAAACTAAGCAGCATAAAACAGTAAACACTTATCATCTCAGCCTCCATGGCCAGGAACCTGTGAGTGGCTTAGTGGCACCAGGTTTCTCGTGAGCCTGTAGTCAAGATGCTGGCGGGAGCTGCAGTCATCCAATGGCTCGACTGCGGCTGACAGGCCACCTCCCAGGGGCTTGGCTCACATGGTGCTGGCTGTTGGCAAGAGGCCCCAAGTCCTTCCATGTGCGCCTCTCAACAGGCTGCATGAACAGCCTCACAGGACGATGCTGGCGACCCCCAGTAAAACTATTGAAGAGAGAGTAAGAGGGAAGCCTCATCACCTTTGAAGACCTATTCTCAGAATTTACCAATAGATGGTTTTGCCACATTCTATTCCTTGGAACCAAGTCAGTAAGTACAGCTTGCATTCATGGGAGGGAAATCAGTCTCCACCTCCACATGGCGGGGCATCAAAGAATTTATTGACATATTTTAAAGCCACATGGGTGCATCACCTGGGTGGCTCAGTGGTTGAGTGTCTGCCTTTGGCTCAGATCGTGATCCTGCGGTCCTGGGATCAAGTCCCACATCGGGCTTTGTGCAGGGAGCCTGCTTCTCCCTCTGCCTATGTCTCTGCCTCTCTGTGTGTGTCTCTCCTGAATAAATAAATAAAATCCTTAAAAAAAATTCTACACTGTGGTGAGACTGGGTTCCTGGGTCTTCTTACTTAGGCTACCTTCATGTTCCCCCAAAATTTCCACCACAAATGTAAAATGGCAAAGCACTGTTTTTAAAGCTTGTCCCATGGTTTTGTATCTTCTTTAGGCATTTGTATTCTCAGGACCTAGCACAGCACTCTTCACATGTGTGTGTGGTGGGGGGAGGGACTAGAAAGAATCAAGCGAAACAAGTAATTTGGAGGAACAGAGGAACTATGTAAACTTGAAAAAAAAATATTTCGGGGCTGCCATGTGTCCAGAATTCTTAGTTGGCTTAGAAGAAACAATGCAGGAGATCCACGGTAAATCACTCCTGGAATGAACAGAGTTGAGCCTGGGGGCCAGGACAAGGGTCAAGACTACTATTTTCTCTGGAGGCCCCAACCTTACTTTCACATGTTCTTCCACCCACACAACCCGTGAAAGCAAACAGGGAGATGACAGGACCAACTCAGCGGGGGACACAGAGGGGAACCTCTCAGCCCTACTGTTGGCGATGCCACTTGGGACTCTAGGTCAGTTCTGGGGATGATGCATGAGCTGAGATGGGGCCTGGAGAGCTGCCCTAACAATTGTTTCTTGCAAGATGAAAGAACTTAGCCATATTTTTTTTTCCTCTTGGTTTCTAGTAGGCTTCCCAGAGTAGACACCTGGAGACATGCAGGAGAATATTCTCCTTCAGGGCTCACATACACATTTCAGAAGGTGCTGGGAATTTGGGGGTAGCACTTAAAATCCTGTAGGCCTCTTTCTGTGTTCCCTTGGTATGTTTGTCTGGCTGAAGGCAGAAGTTGAGTTTTAACAAGGGGCTCCCTGGACCAGAGGCCAGAAGGTGGGGCCCACCCAAGGCTTGTAGCCTCAGCTCTCCTACCAATTTGCTGGAAAAAGTCATTTGTGCCAATTAGGCTCTGGTTAGTAAAGGGTTGTCCTGTCTGGGAGGCAGGTAGAGGAGCCAATTGTAAGAACAGGTGATCAATGAAAGTGACACATTACTCATGCCTCCAATTCTTCTTAGACAGTTAGTCCTCAATTAGTCTCTGAGAAATAGAGAAAATAAGTGTACTTGCCTTGCTAATGACCACATGGTCCGGACTGAGCAATTTACACAGTATTTTAGTTCCAAGATGAAATGTGAAATATGGGGATTAATGAGCTTCTGATTTGCAGGTTTGGAAAAGTTCAGTTCTTTTCTGTTCTCCACAAATACAAAACAATGGTTTCGTGGTAAAACAATCACGGAAAGGAACCAGGCCATTCTCCCCTCTATCCTAGTCAAAAGAGAACTTGCTCTGGCCCGAAGTGATCCTTCCTCCTCTGAATTTATTATCTGTATTCACAGTTCATATTTCACTAGAATGCACCAGGCACACGTCAATGGTTGTTTATAGTTACTATCTATCTGATTAGCTGGGCATTCTTTTTGGTTGGTGCCAATGATGGATGCACCCTACCGCCAACCCCATGAGTTCTTTATAATCCCCTCCCTTTGAGGGACTGCAGGTCCTATGATCTGCTGCAAACAGAATAGGGCAGAAGTGATGTGATCTCACACCTATGACTGCTGATGACCTTGGAGAAGCCAACATCTACGTCATGAGAGATGTAGCATGTGGCAAAGGCCACTGGAGCGGAGCCGAAAGAGGCCTTCTAGTCAAGAGTCAGAAAAAAAAATGGAGCCCCGAGTCCCATCATCACAAGGAAATGAATTCTGTCAGCAACCCGAATGATCCTGAAAGACGATCTTTCCCCAGCTGAGCCCTCAAATGAGAACACGGTCTGGCTGATGCCCTGATTGCTTCCACATGAGACCCTGAGCCGAGGACCCAGCTCAGCTGTGCCGGGACTCCTGATCTATGGGGACTGTGAGCTAACGACCGTGTTTTGTTTTAAGCCACTATATTTGTGGCCATTTGTTATGAAGCAATAGAAGACTAATTCAACACATATGCCATACCAGGAGTTAGATAATTGCTTTATCACCACTACCTGTTTCTTTCATTGCACAATTAGCCACACACTGCTTTGTAATGCAGAAACACTGGACCTAGCGTTGTAACTATAGCTTCCTGAAATTAAGACTTTTCCTTTTAACAAGCTTTAAATCTCCTGAGGGCAAGAACTCCGCTTTTGAACTTTTAAAAATATTTTATTTATTTGAGAGAGAGAAAGCACAAGTAGGGGGAGGAGGTGCAGACGGAGGGAGAAGTAGGCTGCCTACTGAGCAGGGAGACCAATACGGATTCGATCCCAGAATCCTGGGATCACAACCTGAGCCTGAGGCAGACACTTAACTGATGGAGCCACCCAGGTGCCCCTCTGTTCTTGTACTTTTTAAAAAGGTCCATGGCATCTCAAAGTAATACTGACACACAGTAAGTACACTGTCATATGTGACTTGAGGTTTTGACCCTTCATTTGTCCAAGGAAACCAAATGGGTCTAAAGAGATAGAGACAGGAAGCAAACTTTCACTGCACACCTGCTGTGTACCAGGTGAGAGCCCAGACATGTGGAGAACAAAAGTCTTGCCCTCAATTTGTTCGTGGTTTAACCCAATCAATGGAATCTTGTAACCTCATCTTCTCACCATACAGAATCAGAGGATGCCCAAAGATCCCCAGAGTTCTTTGTCAGCCTGTCAAGATTATGACTCTGCAGATCAGGGAAGTCCCTCAGGGACTTTTTAGTGACTTTTTAGTTTGCAAGTAGAAGCAAAAGTCTCAAAAAAAAAAAAAAAAACCTCTCCTGCAGTGCCCATTTCCCATTTAAATGGGTAGTAAACCACAAGGATAAATGGGCAGACTCCACCCTTCCACAATAGCCCAGTGCCCTCAACTCTGACTCAAGCAGGCATATCCATATTCAAGCAGACCAGAGATCAAAGCCATATTAGGCATGAGCTACTTTTTATTCATAGACTTACAAGATATATCGAATTAAGAGGCATGTTGTTTGTTAACTGTATTTACCAAAAAGAGCTAAATATATATTCAGCCTTAAAATGCATCCATTGTAGCTTGCATACTGCAAAATTTACTTTCATATACATATAAACTATTCTTATTTTACCTAAGTTATGCATCTAAGATACATAAAAATGGTACCAAATGGCATATTGGCTTATTTTATCACAGTTCTTATACATTCCTGATAGTCAAAGGGATGGATAGGGAATGCATAGTTTCCTACCAGAAAAAAAAGTAGATTCTGATACAAGTAAGGAATAACGTAAGGATAAGAGTACCTGGCTAGGTTTAGATCTCAGTAGCTTTACAACACAATTACGTCAATTAGCATTACAATGGGCTCTCTTTGTTAATAATTGTTAATTTGCCTAGTCGTCCATCCTCTACTTGCCTGGCTGAGGCTAAGGAAATCACGATGACCTTTCTTCTAGTTTATTTCTACTTTCCCCAAAGAGTTTCCTCCACAGCCATCTGCCCTGCTTTTCTGTCCATTCCCTTTACACTGTCCTACGTCTGGCCCACCTTCCTCACTGTGTCAACAACTAGATTATTGCATTCCACTCCAGAGCTCTGCTCAATAGAATCTTTGGCCACTGCCTAATTAAAGAACTCTCTTCCAAAACTGCAAGCGGAGGGGCTGATACCTCTGCAGAAGAATCCGGAAGCCTGGGCTAAGGAGATTTTCTTTAGGTGGCATGCAAATAGACTCCCCCCCTGCAGACCTTCATCTCTCTTTCATTAAACCCACGGTCAGAGAAATTTCCATCGTGAGTGTTCCTGGCAGCCAAACCTCCTGCATCCCACGCTGATTTCTTTCCTAAAAATACACAGCCTCTCACTCCATGGGGAAGAAAAATGCAACACTGGCATTTCCAGCGTGCTCCCCAAAGGCTGATTATGACCTGGAGCAATTCATCATCGCTCGCGCATTCGAGTTTTTAGTTGCTCCTCCCCCATAGAACTCTTCTTGTTTATCTTGTGGACGTTGTGACAAGAACCAGATGTGTCTGGACCCCAATATCCGCACCCCATCGCTGTTGCGGGGGGGGGGCGGCTGTGGAGAAGCAAACCATGCCAGCTAGAAACACTCTTTGGAACGGAAAATTATCTGAAACTTCTGGAAGACTTTCAAGAGTGTGGCCTTGTGTGTAATAGTAGTCCCATAGTGTTTAATTGCTAAAGGGACCAGTAGATGAGATGGTGTCTATTCAGCACTATTTTCCTTCTGGCTACGCATATTTTGTTGTATATTTTTACTTTATCTCAAGGTGCTGCTATATTCTGAATCATGATAAAAAGTCTTTATTTGGAAGGCATGTCAGAGTGTCACAAAGAAAATACGAAGCCTGCTTGTGCGGGTGGGGGTGGGTGGTGGTGGTGGTGGAAGGGGACAAGGTCTGCCTTTGCCACTCACTACTGGATAATCTTGAGCAGGCGACTGACTTAGATTTTTGTAGCGGTTTCATTCTCTCTGAAATCAGGATGCCTGCCTGCCAATAAACTAAAGAACTGTTTATGAACAAATGAGATGGACACAAATGCACACTGAGAAAACATAAGGCTTTGCTGAAATGCAGGGTGGTCTTATTACCCATTGCCCGAGAACACCGTGCCATTCACACCTAAGGCTTGCTTTTAGTCTCGGTGAAGATCGGTTCCTGATCCCACACTTTAAGGCTGTGTGGCGTGGCCACTTGGCGACACGGAGGGACCCATCCCAGCCACAGAGATTGTGAAGAAGAAGCAGGCTGACAAGAAGGAAACCAATGGGTGATGGGAAGGAATGGACGAGAGCAGCCCTTCCGGGGACTATCATCACAGGGGATGGTCTCACGTATCCCTCTGCTTTGGCTTTCTGATGTTGTTGGGGTTTTACTTTGTCTTACATTATTACTGGAAGAAAAAAAAAAGCTTCTTGCAGAAATTGTTTAAAACTTGAGGGATTCTTGGGATGGAGCAGTGAGATTAATGAAGCAAAGCTTCCACCACCTTGCGCCAAGAACATCTACAGCCTTTTAGCAAGTCGGCCAGAACAAATATCTCCTCCCTCAGCGCGGAGAGGCTGGTAGGCTGCAGACTGATTTGGTCTAGTTTCTTAAAAAGAAAAAGAGAACCTGACTGCAGCTGCAGGGACTACCCACCCTCTTGCCCTCACCTCACCCCCAATTCCTTAGATGTGCCTTCCACCCACCAATGTCTCACCTGGACTCAGCAAGCACCCCTACCCCCCTGCCCGGCACCCCATGATCCCTGGTTTTCCAGATTCTAGGCAATGGTTACCAGCATGGTGAATGCAGATGGTTTCTCCAGGAACTTCACCCTCAGAGGTGAGGCCGGGGAGCTGATGCCCTGTTCCATAGAGGCAGCCCTGTGAAAAGATGCCCCGGTTGCCTTCTCCACAGGAGGCTGGAATCGGGAACATCATTTCGACCTGGCACAAGTGCTAGCACTGCCTAAATGTCCCCTACATTGTTTGCCAAGGGCCTGTTTTTCCGCCCAGGCTTGTCTGAGGGGTTCCATGTGCCAGAAAGAATTGTTGCCCATCTTAACAGCCAGAGGAATAGCAGAGCTGTCCCACTTTCAGCCTCCGATGTGGGGATACTGGGCATTTGTAGTCAATTCAAATCAACCAGGAAGACAAAAGAATGCAGAAGAGTGATTTTTGGGCTTAAGAAAATGAAAACAAACCACTTTTCTCCTGTGTGGTTGGTGCTTAGTAGGAAAGTGTCAAGCAGCAACGCTACTATGTGTGGGCCACTTATAGTTCATTAAAATCCCCGGTGTCCTCGGCTGGAAGCCCTCAGCCTGCGGCCCAGATCGTACCCAGGAGTGCTCTGGCAACCTCGATGCTATTTATGGCCTTGATAGGCACTGAGGAACCAGAAACACCACGCTCATATTTGTGGCAAAACATCTCCCTACTCATGACTTGGCAAACGATTGCTAAAGAATAACACTGCACTGCAACACGATCGTGCTGCTTTGGGGGCTCCGAGAGACGTTGTCGGGTGGCTCTCCTAAAACCCACTTCATGTTCTCTGAAGAGAACCAGCTAGTCAGGCACAGCATCCCCTGGGGAGCTTCCACCACAAAACCAGAGCCCCCGGGGCTTCCCGACAATCCACACCACAGAAGCCCATTTTGAAATAGGCCCTCAGGCCCCCTGAGCGCAGACCTGGTCTGTGGGATCCAGTGTGCCTAGCTCCAAAGCTGGGCCCTGATGATCCCCTGCCCCCCACTAGCCTATTCAGGATGAGCCCCACCTCAGCGTGTGAGCCCCTGGGGGCTTTCCTTGGGGAAACTACTGGGAAAGACAGGGGCGCTGGTGTCATGACCACCTCAGGTTCTGCAATTTGGTGCCACAGCCCCTCCAGAAGGGCCACGCTGGGAGCAGCAGCAACAGCACATCAACAAAGCAGGACCGCTGTGTAAGCACAATGGAAGGCAGGTGGGCAGGTGGGGAGCCTGGTATTCAATGACTCGAAATGTGACGCTGCCCCGAGGGCACAGGCATGCACAAATCAAAGGGCCACCTCTAGGTTTCAAAGTGCATCGAGACTTGTGTAAAGTCCTCTTTGATTCCACAAAACCTTCCCTCAACAATTCTACCAAATGCCCATCCGATGGAAATACCTGTCCTACTGCTTTAAAGGACGGGATAAAAAAGCACCATTCAGTCTTTGGCCTGTCTGCTGGTTACCCACAAACTCAAAGAACGGGTTCAGGGAAGCAGCTGAGTCATGGAGAGCATCTAACAAGCAGTATTGCTCGGGCGGCCACGGGATCGGCTTTGAACCCCAGGGACAAGGGGAGAACACCTTTGTCTCACTCATGGGCCTGCAGCCCGGGCTGGGCCTGGACACGTGTCAGCAGAGTATTTTCTTTGTGGCCACCCCCGACGAGCATCCCCGGGAGCCAATGAGATGGCCAACGTTCTGCTATTAAGGGGGGTTCGGGGAACTGAAATGGCTCAAAATAGCATTGCTGAGTGTTATCAGATTTTTAAACGAATCATCAGCAAATCTTTTCCGCTGACTTTGCCTTGAAGAGTTCTTACCAAAAAAGATGGCTAAGATGGAATGAGGAGGGCCCCTAGCGCGTTGGGTCTTTTTTTGTTTTTGTTTTTGATTTCATCCTAAGAGCCGTTCCATCTTATCTGATTTCCTCCTTCCTCATTTGAAAAAAGAAAGAAAGAAAAAGAAAAAAAAAAGCACATTACTTTCCTAGATGGTAAGAGTTACTGTGGTACTCTCTTCTCAGAGAGAACAGGCTTGAAGATGCCTTTCCGGGTGGGAGACTGGACATGTCATGCAGTTAGCCAGTAAGTGCAATCCCTGATTAAGACGTGAGTTCTAACATTATGAAAACTTCTATTTCCCCAAATGCGTCCTTAATTTGAGAGCTCTGAACTTGGCTTTCCATTTGCTTCTGGGTCCTCTCTCGGGGAAAGCTAGGGCTACGCGTCTTTAAAGGCCCCCATCACCCCCTTCACAAACTTAAGTCGACGACTATGTGCTCGAAAATCTTTGTTTTCCCTTTGAAACTGGATGCAAAAAAGAAATCTCGCCTGTCAGTGGAGACCGCCGTGAAGCAGCGAGGGGCCTGCACGTAAATCTCCTTGAATTTTTTGAATAGCTGCTTCTCTTTATCCCACTGGTAGATCTGGGAGAACGTATAGTCACTCCCCAGGGCCAGGTAGTGATTATCTTTAAAAGAAAAGGGCTGCAGGGTCATGGCCCCCCGAGATGGAAGAGCCTGGATCTCCACAAACTGCTTACTGTTCCACCTCATGACCCGGGAGTCCCCGATGAAGCGGGTGAGGGAAAGGTAGAGGGCATTCTGCATCCTAAAGCTCTTCACAGCCAGGACATCTTCCATGTTGGGGATGTCACTGTGGGGGACGAACTTCTTGGAGCTTTTATTCCACTGGAGGATGATGGGGACCTGGGAGCGGCTGGACAGAATCAGGTGCGACTTCCCGTCTATGTCCACGAACTCCGCGTCCGTGTCCCTGAACCACTCGTGCAGAGACTGGTAGGAGTAGAAGCCTTTGCTGTTCCATTTATACACGGTGGACAGGCCGGCTTTGGAGCTGTCGGCGATGATGAAGAACGTCTCGTCCTCGATCTGAAAGAGCTCGATGTCGTTGGGCTTGGAAATGCGGGAGACTTCAATGTCCTGGAACTTGACAAACTTGGTCCAGCTCTCGTCATACTTGTAGATGTGGGAGCCGCCGAAGAGCTGGGCCACCACCACGAAAACCTGGTCGTCGATGAGGATGGCCTTACAGCCCACGATGGACTGACCTGTGCCCCAAGAGAAATGAGAGGGGATTAGGTAAGAATGGTCCTCCGGGGACGGCTGGGTGGCCCGGTGGTTGCATCTGCCTTCGGCTCGGGGTGTGATCCCAGGGGCCTGGGATGGGTGAATGGATGACCAAAATGTGGTTTATACACACGATGGGACCCCGTTCAGCCTCCGAAAGGAAGGAAATCCTGACATATGACCCATGATGATATGGATGAACATTGAGGACATTATCCTAAGTGAAATAAAGACGGTCACAAAAAAAATAATATATTACTCCACTTATATGAGGTCCCTAAAGAAGTCAGATTCATAGACCCGGAAGGTGGCCAGGGGCTGGGGGAGAGGAGAGATTGGGGAGTTAGTGTTTAACGGATACAGAAATCTAGTTTTTCAAGATGAAAAGGGTTCCAGAGAGTGTTTGCACAACATCGTGAGTGCACTTAACGCCCTGAACAGTACCCTTGCAAAGTGGTGAAGATGGTTAACTTTTATGTTATACATATTTTCCCACAATCAAAACATTTTTAAAAACAAAAGTGTGGCCGCCTTCAGTCCAGGGCGTGATCCCGGAGACCCGGGATCGAGTCACACATCAGGCTCCCTGCATGGAGCCTGCTTCTCCCTCTGCCTGGGTCTCTGCCTCTCTCTCCGTGTGTCTTTCATGAATAAATAAATAAAATCTTTAAAAACAAAACACAAAAATGTATCTGCATAGAAATAAGTCAGGGCTGGTCTCCTGGCCTCCGGTATCTTTAGAGGCAGGAGTACCATTCAGGAAGCGCACAGACCCACAGGAATGGTCTTCCTTCTAGTCAAAAAAGTATTTCCCACCTCAAGACAGTGGAATGAGACAAATGGGGTTCTCTTTGGGGCATGGGGACACAGGAGGGTAAAAAGTAAGGAGTCAGGGCTCAGAGACAGTAGGGGAAAAAAATGCAGAGCGGGGTTCTTCAAGACGTTTGGCCTCTTCTGGGTTCCAGAGCCCAGGGAAGCCGACCAGAGGCGGGGGGGGGGGGGGGGGCATTCAACCTTGTGACTCTAGACCAGGTGGCCCAGACGTTGACATGCAGCCTGTTCCTTATAAGCTTTCTGACCCGGTGCCAGTCAACTCTCTGCACCCAGGCTCCTCGTCTCTACAATGAGGATGCTATTAGCACTGCCCTTCCAGGGTTGGTAAAGACTAAGTGACAAAATTCATGCTTGGTGTTTTGAGAACCGACCCCCCCCACCCCGCCGCCCCCAAGCAGGAAGTGGTCAACAATGAGCAGCTGTCCTTCCTGGATCACTGAAACAGTTGTCTTGGTAACGGAGAGACCTAGCCCCATAGCAGTCGCTGTGTAAATACCTGTAGGATGATCCGTGACCCGGAGGATGACCCGGCTCAGGAGGCCCCCACCCAGAACTCTGCTGGAGAGGGGGAGCTCTCCTGTCTGGACACCTCCCACCATCTTCTCCCACAAGGCACCCGGATCCCCCGGATCCCCAGGCCTTCCCCCGACCTCCTCCTCCAGCCAGCAAGCAATAGGACCACTCACATCACAAAGACTATGGACCCTCCATCTAGGCTATTGGATTAAAAGTTACTTCTTTTCTTTCTTTTTTTTTTTTTTTTGAAGGTACTTCTTTTCCCTGATTTTCTAGGCAATTTGGACCAAAGTGAATTTGGTCTACAAATTACAAGGATAATGATCCTCCTCCTGACCTTAGTATTAACTTTGGGAGCAGACAGCGGGTGGTTTTTAGAGTGATATTTACTGCTCTCTTTCATAGATTTTGGTCCTTCTTGCAAGAACTTGGTTCCTTTCTTTTGTTTACAGTTAATTATTCCTTTTTTTTTCCCCCTGAGTATAAAAGCTTTCAATGTTCACCAAAAAGCAAATTTTAAAAATAATAGGTAGCATTCACAGCATGTCCTATGACCAGGCGTTATACTAAACACTTTACACGTATGTACTCACTTAATCCTGACAACAACCTGGTAAGACCAGTATTATCATCATCATCATCACCGTCCCCAGTTTATAAACAGCAAAACTGAGGCACAGAGTAGGTAAGCAACACTTATACAAGGCCACACAGCTCGTATGTGGTTGAGCCCGGGATCTAAATCAGGGTAGTCTGGCTCCAGTCTACGCTGAGCCACCAACGTACCAAAAAGCACAAAGAGAAAAATCAAAATAACTTGTACTGCAAAGCTGAAAAAGCACTTAACGTCTTGATATATTTCCTTAATCATTAATCTATCAACATACATACTCAAATACTCAAATGTGCTTCTTAAAAATAAATTTGGGGGGCACCTGGGGGACTCAGTCGGTTCAGCATTCACCTGCAGCTCAGGTCATGACCCCAGGGTCCTGGGATTGAGCCCTAAGTCAGGCTCCCCACTCAGCGGTGAGTCTGCCTCTCCCTCTACCCCTCCCAAATCATGCCCCCCACCCCTGCTCGTGCTTTCTCTCTCTCTCTCAAATAAAGCAATAAAATCTTTGAAAACAAATAAATAAATTTGGGCTTATAGGACGCATGAGCGTTATACAGCCTTTCTTTCCCATGTGACCATTATGTTGTAAACATTTTCCCCTGTTCCTGCACCTTCTACAACTTGATTTTTAAATCCTCTACAATAGTCCGTTGCATGGCTGTCGTCTATTTTTAACAAATCCCCTATTGTTGGACACTGCAGTTATCTCTAGCTTTGCATTATTGTAAGTAACATGTTTCCTTGTAAGGGAGTCTTTTTTGAAAACCAGCTGGCGGTGTTCTTAAACAGGCATCGCTGGGGGTAAACGCTGTGCACGCCTTTAAGGCTTCTGGATTTCAACTACCAAATGGCTCTTGGGAAGCTGCACTGACTCCCACCCTGCCAACAGTAACTGAGAGTGCATATTCCTGGTCCCCTTCCTGAGCGGCCTCCTATGGAGGTCCCTGTGACCCGGGACGTCCTCCAGGCCTGCCTGTCTGTCGCAGCTCAGGGGCCTTGCGAGAAAGACTTCCTTTCTTGGAGATGGTCTGGAACACCTCTGTCCAGCTGAACACTTTTAGTCTATGGAACTGTGCGGAGCAGCAGAGATCATCGTGTGTGTGTGTGTGTGTGTGTGTGTGTGTGTGTGTGTGTGTGTGTGTGTTTTAATGCAGGAAGAGAGGTTATAGGCTGGAACATACCTGGCACGGAGAAATCAAAAGGCAAATAAAATAAACCAAAAACAGGACTGCTGAGCAGAGATGTAGAGGCAAAGAAGGAGAAGACACCACGTACAAACCCTCGGGGTGAACCTGACCGTGGCTTCCTGCGCCCCCCTGGAAGCGGGGGCCCGGCCGGACCAGCCCTTCTGCACCCGGCTCCCCAGGACGGCGAGGAAGTCGTGGGGGCCCCTCCCACCCCTCAGAGCCCCAGTCGGGCCAGGCAAGGGTGGAGAACACCCCGCCCAGCCCTTGCAGACTCCGGGATCACTCCGAGATCAGACAAGATGACAAATGAGCCACGTGTGGCCTGTGAAGGGAGGACGGGCCGGTGTTTACCTTGGTCCAGCTCACGGCGAGCGGCCGCAGGGCCGAGCCCCTGCCTGTCCATTTGTCATCCGCCCGGCACGTGTGTGCTTAGGGCTCCCCTTCACACGGGCCTGAGCTCCAGCCAGCCCCCTCCCCGCGCTGCATCTGGCCACCTCTTCCCGGCGCCCCCGGAGCAGCCCAGACCCCAGACCGGCCCCTCCTCTCCTGTGCTGATGGAAGTCAGGGACAAGTCTAACTGATGTGAGAGATTTAGGGTCTGCGAGCGGGGAGAAGGAGAGCTGCTCCTTTGTCACCCCTGGGTGACAGCTGACACTCGCGGAGGAGTCACTGTGTGCCCAGCTCTGGGTGAAGCGTTACAGACGTGAGCCCCGTCAAATTCTCACGGGCCCGACCCGATGGTGAACCCGCTGTGGGATGAAGTGGGAATTCATGCTACTCCCATTCCACAGGTGAAGGGCGCTCGTGGAAAGTAACTCCCACGGCCAAGGTCACCAGCTAGAAAGTAACTAACGTGGCCAAGGTCACCGGTTTTATAAAAAACCAGCCTGACGTTGTTGGAGCTCGAGGGCTTAACTGCCCCCCTGTTGTAACTTGTTTCTCAGGCTTGGCTGTGAAGGGGATCCGGGGGGCTTCAAATGGGATGCCCACTGCCAGGAAGGTTGAGAACAAGGGGGGGGCTGAGGAGTTCCCAGAGACTAGCAAGGCCCAGCCCTGGCCCTGGCCGCTCCCACGGCGACCTCGCTGCCCGCTTCCTACCCACCACGGCTGCAGCCCGTGTAGGGCCCAGGCCAGCAGCGCTGCGTGGATTCCTGCAACAGCCCCTCAGCTAGGTGCTCTGCCTTGACCTCCGTCCCCTGTCCCCAACACAGGCTACTCCCAGCCCTGCATCCCACGCCAGGCCCCTGCCTCGTCCTGGGCAGCCCTGCTGACCTCGGCGCAAAGCCCTCTGCAGTTCTGCAGAGCACTCGGATTAAAAACCCAAGTCCAGGGATCCCTGGGTGGCGCAGCGGTTTAGCGCCTGCCTTTGGCCCAGGGCACGATCCTGGAGACCCGGGATCGAATCCCACGTCGGGCTCCCGGTGCATGGAGCCTGCTTCTCCCTCTGCCTGTGTCTCTGCCTCTCTCTCTCACTCTGTGTGACTATCATAAATAAATAAAATTTAAAAAAAATTTAAAAACCCAAGTCCTTCCCGGGACCTGCAAGGCACCCCCGTGTTCAGTCCTTCTTGCCCCCCCCCCCCGACCTTGTCTCCCATAGTTTTTCCTCTGGAGCATTTTGTTCAGGCCAAAACGCCCCCCCCCCCCCCGGAAGACCCAAACCGGGAAGACATCCTCTCGCCGCTGGACCTTTGCACTTGCTGTTGCCTCTGTCTGGAATGCTTCCTCCCCACGCTGTCCACATGGATCAAGCCCTCCCGTCCCACTGGTCTTCAAACAACCTTCTTCACGAGGCCTTACCAGACACAATCTAAAATGTCAACCTTCCCACGGTCGGCTCTTCAAAACTCCCATCCCTACCTTCCTTCCCTTTCTTAGGGTGTTGCTATCTGATGCGTTATCTGTATCATAATTCTTTGTCTCATTTATTGTCTTTCACTCCCATTATAATACAAACCCGTTGAGGGTGGAGGTTTTCATTTGGCCTGTGAATGGCTATGGCCCTAGCACCTCGACTGTGCCAGCTCTGAGTAAGTGCTCAAGAAGTCGTGAATGAATGAATGAACAAATGAATGACTTGATGAAAGCAGGGATGTGACCAGGTGCAGACTGTCAGGAGGGCAAGTGGAGGACAGTGTTGTCCCTTCCTACCAAGGCCAACCTAAGGGAGGAATAGGCAGTGACAGGCTCTGGGCTCTGTCCCCAAAGTGATCCAACAAAACATGCCTGAGCCCTGATCTCTTTGTTTGGGAAAGTGGGAGAAGGAAGCCGGTGTTAGTTAAGAAGTGCTTGCTCCCTAGGAGCACGTGGAAAAATGCTCCCTATTGCCTGCCATCAGGGAAATACCAATCAAAACCACAATGAGATCCCACCTCACACTGGTGAGAATGGGGAAAATGAACAAGGCAGGAAACAACAAATGTTGGCGAGGATGCGGAGAAAGGGGAGCCTCTTGCACTGTTGGTGGGAACACAAGCTGGTGCAGCCACTCTGGGAAACTGTGTGGAGGCTCCTCAACAAGTTGAAAACAGACCTGCCCTACGACCCAGCAATTGCACTGCTGGGGATTTACCCCAAAGATACAGATGCAGTGAAGTGAAAGGGCACCTGCACCCCGATGTTCACAGCAGCCATGTCCACAATAGCCAGACTGTGGGAGGAGCCTGGGTGTCCTTGGACAGACGGATGGATAGAGAAGCTGTGGTCTGTGTATACTGTGGAATATTCCTCAGGCATCAGAAAGGACAAATACCCACCATTTGCTTCAACGTGGATGGAACTGGAGGGTATTATGATGAGTGAAGTAAGTCAGTCGGAGAAGGACAGTCGTCAGATGGTCTCACTCATATGGGGAATATAAGAAATAATGGAAGGGATTATAGGGGAAAGGAGGGAAGCTGAGTGGGGAAAATTAGAGAGGGAGACACCTGACTCTGGGAAACAAAGGGTTGCAGCAGGAGGAGGAGGAGGAGGTGGGAGGGGATGGGGTGACAGGGTGACAGGCACGGAAGAGGGCACTTGATGGGATTAGCACTGGGTGTTATACTACGTGTTGGCAAAAATTAAATTTAAAAAAATTTAAAAGAACCGCTTGCTCTGTGCCTGGCACTCACCGATCCTCACAATGTCCATAGGAAGTACACGCACTGCCCATTCTACAGAGAACACCGAGCCCCAGAGGCCGCAGCCCATATTATATCTCAGCACCTGGTGGAGTCGTGGGAGTCCCATCCCCGTTCATCAGTGCTCAAAACCTGAGCTCCTTATCATCTCTATGCCACCTTCCTACTGAGCTGGGCTTCTGTCGGCCCCCTGCGGGCAGGCAACCCACCCTAATCCCTCAAGGGGCTCTTGGGAGTTTCCAAGGAGACAAGCCAGTGCCTGGCACCTCACAGGCCCGCAACCAGCCTCAGCGACAAGCACTGGTGTGGAGCCCCCCTCCCGCAGCCTACCTGGGCATGAAGCAAAGCTTCCCTGTGGGTGAGTGGGAGGAGAGGCAAAGCTTCCCAGCGTGGGTGGGAGGAGAGGAGGCCAAGGGGCCAGCCCCTTCATCCCTCACCTACCTCTACACCTAGAAAAAGAGGGAAGTGAAAAGCAGGTGGAGAGCATGTCTCCCCCTTCTCCCTCTGGCCTGGGTCCAGGGGCTAAAGGCCTCAGCTTCCTGGGCAGGTTCACCTGCAGCCAGTGCTCTGGGCTGCCTGTGTGCTCGGAGGAAGCAGGGCTGCTCTGGGGAGCCTGAGCTCAGGTGGCCACACAGCAGAGGCTCATCCACCAGGGCATCTTCGGAACTCCTGGAGTGCTTGGGGCTCTCACAGACCTCTCCTTGCAGTGGAGATTAGGCTCATTAGCATCTCTGCTCAGGCAGGGAGTCATGAAACCACGCTCTCCCTCCCTCCCTACACCCCTGCACCTGCTGCAGAACCGCTTTGCACCTGAGAGGTTCCTACGGGCCTCCTCATCCGGGATTTCTACGTGATCTGCTTCTCTCCACAACAGCAAATTATGGCTCTAACTCCAAAGCAGGAACCACTAAAGGAAATCCTCTCCCGGGGTGACAGTTGGGCCACTGTGGTGCTGTCCGTGAAGTCAGCATTATTATCAGAGTGCACTTGATAAATGAGAAGTCTTTAAAAGATTAGTCTGACTTTTCCTACCTATTTAAAAAGCAAGTAAAAAACAAATTAAAAACAAAAAGCAAGTACACAGCCCATTTTTGGTAGCACAAAAACACTGGGCTCCTGACAACATAGAAAGACGCATTAACCAGGTCTCAACCCAAAGGCATGAATTGAGAGAGCCATTTGTTCTTATTTTGTCTGTATTTATTAAAAGGAAGCAGTGATCACCGGGATCCGGCAAGGGGGTTGCAAGAATAAGCCATAGAGTGTGCCTGTGTGTGCGTGCATGGATGGGTGTGTGCCTGTGTGTGCATGGGTGGGTGTGTGCCTGTGTGTGCATGGGTGGATGCATGCCTGTGTGTGCATGCATGGATGGGCGTGTGCCTGTGTGTGTGTGCATAGATGGGTGTGTGTCTGCGGATGCATGCCTGTGTGCATGCATGGATGGGTGTGTGCATGTATGGATGGATGTGGTCTGTGTGTGCATACATGAATGGACGTGGTCTGTGTGTGCATGGATGGTGTGTGCCTGTGCATGCATGCATGGGTGTGTGCCTGTGTGTGTGTGCATGGATGCATGTGGTCTGTGTGTGCATGCACGGATGGGTGTATCCCTGTGTGTGTATGCACGGATGGATGTGTGCCTGTGTGTGCATGCACGGATGGACGTGTCCCTGTGTGTGTACGCATGGATGGTGTGTGCCTGTGTGTGCATGCATGGATGGGTGTGGTCTGTGTGTGCACGGATGGTGTGTGCCTGTGTGTATGCATGGATGGACGTGTGTCCATGCATGTGCACAGGTGTGCATGAGCACATGTGCCTGTGTGTGTCAGCATCTTAGTTAACCACCACCTTAACAGAAGTCAAAGGTATCCTGTAGCTGCTATAAAGCAGTTGCGGCCTTCCGCCGCCCTAAGTGCTCAGGATTGAGGGGTTCTCCGGTGACTTCTCCCCACTACTGGAAAATGCCTCCCACTATATGCGACCCACACTCTCACCCTTTTCAAAGGATCACAAACAACAAAGAAGACCCCCACCCCACGTTTCTGTTCTCACCAACAACTGGCCAAGTCAAGAAGGAATCCGAGAGAAGAGGGTGGGCTGGAATGCCTTCCCCGATTCTCACCAAGTCAGGGCCACGCTTTCCCTTCTTGGGATGACAGGATGCCGCTTCTCTCACCGGCTTGAGGCCACAGTGAAATGAGGTCAGTACACCTGATCAGAGTCACAACGCACCTGTAATATTGTCATAGCTCCGGAAGTTCATTTCGATGTGGTCCCACTCCAGCACCATGCAGTTCTCCATGCTGGGCTGAGCGATGGCCACGTACACGTCATTCTTGGAGTTGAACGTATCCACCGAAACCGACTGGTAGGGCAAAGTCTGATGGACAACAAAATCTGGGAATGGGTATTTAAAAAAAAAGTCTCCATGAGATCCCACGTGGGAATTATCCACCACCAGTACCCTGCTTCCCTTCGTAGCACTGGTTCCGAAGAGGACCGGGGTGGAGGGGTGCAAGGGTAGTGGGTGTGTGTGGAGGCTAGAGAACCAATGAAGAAAGAATAAAAATAAAACAAAATAAACCAACACCAGTGGGGCACCTGGGAGGCTCAGTCGGTTAAGCATCTGCCTTTGGCTCATGTCATGATCCCAGGGTCCTGGGATCGAGCCCTACACTGGGCTCCCTGCTCAGCGGGGAGTCTGCTTCTCTCTGCCCTTCCCCTCCTCATGCTCTCTCTCTCTATCTCAAATAAATAAATAAAATCTTTTGAAAGAAACCACTAAGAAAGCCAAAAGTAAGTTATTTCTTCAGCTAGAGATGCCTCAAGGTACACTGCTTCTTGGCAGGCCGAACACACGCAGGGTAAAAGGAAAGCGGATGTCTGGCTACGGGAAATGGTTCCTCTAAGAACACCCTGGCTTTGCCCACCTCCTGCCCACCCAGCCCTCGCCCTGCGTGCCCAAGCCCCAGGTCTTCTACAAAGCCCTCCCAGATCCAATGCACAGGACTCTCTCCTAGTCACTGGACCCCCAATCCGGCGCTGCTGTTTAAATCTTACTCTTGGCGATGATGGGCCCTCCAGCACAGCGACTTCAGTCAGCTTTGGGGAATGATCTCAGGGCCTCGAACCTTCCACAGAAAGCTGAAGCTCAGAGAAGGCGTGCACCCGGCCACAGGCCACACAGCCTGCATCCCGTGTCTCCTGAACCCAGGGCTTCCTGAGGACAGGCCCGGGTCCTACCCTCCGAAGGGCCTTCCACGGCCTAAGCCCTTGGTGGCCACTCAAGAAATCATTCTGACTTGGGAGCCTCCTCCAGATGTCACATGAGACAGGCCATAACGGGGGTGGGCCAGTCAGTGGTGAGCAAAGGCAGGACAGTGCAGGGGGACAGAGGCAGGGAAAGAAGGGAGAGACGCTGAGCAGTGGGGAGGTGGGAGCGGGGAGCGGGGGTGAGAAGAGCAGCTGCCCAGGTGCCTGCAGGTCAGGGCCCAGAGAGGGGAGCAGGGCCGAGGGAGTGAGAGCAGCAAGAGGTGCAGGAAAGAGCACTTTGCCTGGAGTCGGACCCCCTGGAGCCCCTCCTGCACTTGAGACCCGGCCACGCTCTTTCCCTTCCAAGGCCTCAGTTGACTCATGGGCCACCTGGGGGCACGGTTCCTACCTGCCACGCTTGATGGCAGGGCCGCACTGGAAATGTTGGCGGAAGCGCCCGTGTTGGGGCTTAGCCCGTAGCAGGTGCTTCATAAATACAGAACTGAAGGCTGAGAAAGGACAGTCTGCCTCCACCGCGCTGTCTCTTGAGGACCTGCCCTTCGCACGGCATCGCTAAGACGACCTGGCAAAGCTGTGACTCCAAGGTCTTGCTGAGTGACCTTGGGGAAGCTATTTAACCTCTGTCTGGCTTCGTCTCTTTTTCGTCTTATAACCCTGACTCATTTAGCATCGTGCGTAGCACACAGTGGCTGGCCGATACTGGTCCGCTCTTGGAGGTGTCCCCAGCCCTATTCTGAGCACACAGTAGGTGCTTAATAAATGCTTTGCTGGTGGAGGAGTGTGGGAGGGCTGGGGATCAATAAATGATGCGCACAGGTGCAGGGAGACAAGGAAGCAGCAAAGAGAGGGGAGGCCGCCTCTGCACCCTGATGGCTGGCGAGAAGTAGCCGAGGGACAGCGAGGACAAGTGGCAGGAGCCGCTCACCCCCATGGCAGGGCGGGGAGCACCGGGAAGGGCTGAGGCTTTCGGTAGGACGGGCTGGCCTCCAGGGGCCTGCCTGTATCTGTAGCTCTATGACCCTGGGCGAGGAGCTTGGGTCCCCCTCAGTAAAAAGAGTGTGACCCCTATTCCGTGAGGTCACTGTAGAGACTAAATAGGAGAGTGTAAGTGTTAGCAGCAGAGCCTCACAAATGGGGAGTTTTATTTTGGGGGCTTTTTTGTTGTTGTTGTTTTTTGTTTGGGGGCCTTGGGGGGAGTTTTATATAATAGTTTTAGGTCCTAGCTTTGTATGCTGTAGAGCCATGAGCATGCTGGGTTGCTGGGAGAACTCCTGGGAAGAATCACTAAGGCCCCCCCCGCCCTGCTGATTTCTCAACCCGCCCCCCCCAATACCCAGTGCTGCTCCATCAATAAGGAAAATCACACAAATCTCAACCTGTAGATGAACAGAAAAGGGGAAACGGTAGCTGTCCTCATCTGCTTCCTTTTCTCTCTCCGGAACAGGACTCCGAGAACACGGCTGCGTCCTTTTAATTCCGAGACAGCCGCACACCCCTCTACCCCTCGGGCTGCCTTCTGCTAATGAGAGCCCCGAAGGTTGCAAACACTCCTGCCTCTAACCCGAGTCTCCCGCCTGCACTCTGAAGTCTCGGAAAGATGAGCATTTGCTGAAAAATGCAGGCTCTTTAAAGGGCAGACCAGAAAGTTTCAGATTTTTTATTAAAAAAAAAATCTCAGAAAGCTGCCAAAATTAGACAGTACTTTACAAATCTAGCTTTCAACGGTTCTATTTTCATTTGTTTTCCCAAAACATTGGTTTCATAATATTTTCTATATGCTGACTATCTGGCACAACACAGCCTGTTAGATCATTTGGATTATAAGTCTAATTCTTAATAGGAGAGTCCTTCTCCCCTTCCTCCCCCCCAACCTGAAAAAAGGAGGAGGAAGAGGAAGAAACAGGAAGAAATGTCTAAAAGACAAAGACTGGTGGATATGTATTGGGTGGGGGGGGGGGCGGGAGGAATTTAAAGATCCTCTCCCATCTCCATTTTAATTCATCTTTCACGACCGGCAAAAGCACATTCGTCGTGCAAAGATCTCCAACAACACACATATTGATATGACATCAATTTACTAGTGTTAAAGTATTAATGGCATTCTCTGCAAAAAGCGCTGCCACTTCCATTCACATTGGATTAAGTTCATGATGTCAGTGGGACGCTTACAATTTAGGCCTTGCTCCCACTGGAATCAACAGATTTTTACATAGCTATTTATAGCACTTGCAGAAAATAAATTATACATGACGCCGATCCTATTGGGAGAAAAACTGCACATTAATGCATTATTTCTCTTTGCATTCCATCAGCCCAGAAATGGGGAAGCTAACAGGACAATTAGGATGCAAAATTCACTCCCTCCAAGGAATTTAGTGAATTATCCACCTAACACGGGGAAATCATGAGTAGGTAACAGGGATTTTTGAGGTGGTTAAAAATAGACTTAAGGGAAGACCGTGATCAATCTAGAAGCTGAAACAGTCCAGCGGTGGTGCTGCCTGTTAATTATACCCGGTGCCAGAACACAATGGCCAAGAGGATCTTCCTCTCTCTGGGAAGAACAGGATTTTCCTCTCCTTCCTCTACCTGAGGAATTTACTCCATTCCCGAAAATCTGAGCTAAGAGAAAAATAATGCCCTCAGAGAATGTGCTTCTTCCCAAAAATGTAGCGAGGATGCCATCATAGTACCAGGGCTCTCAGATTGGGCCTTCCCACCTGCCACCCATCCTCCCAGCCTTTAATAGAGCACCGAAGGTTGAGGCTTGATAGGAGCGGAAGACAGGAACCAAAAGACAAAACAAAAAACAAAACAAAACAAAAAGAGCAACCTTCATGATTTATTAACTTAGTTCTTAAAGGGCAGGGACTATATCTGGGGGTGGTCACAGCTTGGTTACCCCATTTATTCTTGATGGAGGAAACCATGATCAGAAGCTAATTTGTTCATGAGTCTAAAGGGATAAAACAACAGCAAAGATAGAATCATCACCCCCCCTGCTACCAGGGAGCAGCGCTGACTACCTAAATTTTAGTAGGAAGGTTTCTAGCAAAGCAAAGCAAATGCATATGAGAGGATACCCTAAAATGTTAGGGGGGGGCGGTGCTCACGCTGCCCCATGGGTTCTGGGTTTAGGACAGGTTTCTAGACCTGGCTACCTTGGTTCCAAGCCCCCCCTCTACTCCTCTGACAATTCTCAGAGCGCAGATCATTTCCACAACCGTCCCCAGGGCCCTAACATCAGAAATCATGTTTTCTCATGTAAATTATTCCCTGTTCCTGGGCCCTCGGCATAGCCCATGTCATTTCTCCCAGAGACTGGCAAAGTGTTCAGGCACTCTGGCCAGTTATGAAGAAAACAATGAAACGGGGGCTCCCTTCACTTGGGGGTTTAGGGAACTCTCCAGAAAAAACGGGAGAAGAGACACACAGGAGCCCCAGTGAGCTGTGGTCTGGCATTTCACACCAAATGGCCTTGAACGCCACCTTTTGGTGCAAATGCCATTGAGTATGACCTCTGATTTATTGCACTGCTCTACAATATAATAAATAACCTGCTCGTGGCCTCCACTGGCCAAAGGGCACCTGCCAATTACACAGCTGAATGAGCCCCTGGTCCATGCTGGAAGTCTAGGGCAGCCCACAAGCCTGCAGGTTTTCTCCCAGCAAAGAGAAAATTTTGTGAAGTCCCCTATTTACAAAGATATCTAGAAATAGTTTTTACTTTGTGAGTTCTTGTTTATTTATTTGTTTGGTGGGTGGCAGTAGGACTGGCCTAAATGTCACAGTTTGTTCTTGGAGGGTTTTTTTGTTTTGTTTTTTTGTGTGGGTTTTTTTTTTTTTCCTTTTGAGTTTCTGTAACTGTTTTCGGAGTCTCATGCCTGCTGTTCCCACTGACATGCCTTGAGGCTTTGTAGATATCAACTCTCAGCTGAAATGTTTATTTTTATAAGTTTGGTAAGCAGGTTTCATCCTGGGGATTGATCTGCTTTCCTTTAAAATCTGGCTTTAGAAGCCGTAGAAGCTCCACATAGGCCTTTCCGACAGAGACACTCACCTGCTCTCTACGAGATGTGACAGTGGAGGCAGTTAGTATTTTAACTTTGCCTTGTGACCTGTGAAATGTATAAATGGAAACCTCGAGGCAGGCCCTGGAAAAAATGCAGATTCAAAGTTTCTTTGCATTTTTCCTCAGTGTGAGGTTTTTTTCTTTAGATAACTGGTTGTTCACTTATATTTCTGTTTTGCCATTGGTTATAATCCACCAAGCTATCTCTTTTTAGGTGGAATGACAAAAGCAATTCACGGATTTTAAAGGCTGGTATTTAGGGACACCTGGGTGGCTCAGTGGTTGAGCATCTGCCTTCGGCTCAGGGCGTGATCCCGGGGTCCTGGAATCGAGCCCCACATTGGGCTCCCCGCTTCTCCCTCTGCCTGTGTCTCTGCCTCTCTCTGTGTGTGTCTTTCATGAATCAATAAATAAAATCTTAAAAAGATAAATAAACAAAGGCTGATATTTATTAGCTGAATTTTCAGTAAACTTCATATTACTCAATCAGGAGAAGAGTGTCAACAGTGGATCAAGAGAGCAGGAATGCGGGCCTCTTTATACTGACTTTCCAAGAAACCTGACTTGTAAATGTGCTTATGCCCAACTCACCTGTTTATAGCTTCTGGCCCTTAAAAAATTTTTTTTTAATTTAAAAACCCTCAGAGAAATTAGAATTTTGTAAAGAATCAGAATTAAAACAAAGGGCAGTTAACAAAAATCCTTCCAAACTGTTGAGATAATATCCTCACCGCATCGATTCATTTCTTTTAAGCGCTTAAACATGGCCTAAAATAATTTGGACAGAACACCTTTACACCCACTTTTCTCCATTCCCTGTGGATGTTCTAAAAGAAAAACAAAGGGATTATTTTCCATAACAGTCTTCAATGATAGAGGTTCTGAATACCTGTAGTGGTACATTCGTAGTCAAAGCTGGGCACATCATTTAGCTTCTTTTCCTGATACTCTGGTGGACCGATGCAGAGGACATCGGAGACAGTGGAATTTGTCATCTTCAACCACAGATACAACCACTTGGCTTTGCAGTCACATTCAAATTTATTGCCCCTTAAGTCACTAACAAAACACAAAACACATAGACGGAGAAACAGATATGCCTGAAAAGTCTCAGCAGTCATATGAAACTCCAACATTATTTAACATCCTGATGTATTTACTACCCCCACCCAATAAAATGTAAAAAATTTGCGTTTAATGCATCCTATTTCTTGTACTTCTCACTGACTTTATTTAATGATCTTCGGTGTCCATGATTTTAAGTAGAGCCCACAGAGAGCTCTCAGAGCTCACGTATCACCACTTTTTCACTCTCCTGAAACTGTCGCCACACCATGCTGGAAATGGGGAGGAGGTGACAGGGTTGACGGAAGAACTCCCCCCCCGCCCCCCCCCCCACGTGCAGGTTCTCACAAGCAAAGTCAGGACATTACAGGAAGATAGCTTTCACGAACACGATCGAAACTTTAAGATCTTGTTCAACGATGTCCAGTAAGAAGTGACAAACACTAGAAGATAAGGCAGAGGGATCTGCTGTCTTGAGAAAGGAAATCTCACACCAGCAAGCTTATCTTACTTACCCTGGCCTAACGCTACCAAGTGTATCCCAACAAGGCAAGACCTAACACAATACAAACTGTATGCTGTTTCCCCCCATGCACTCTCTGTTACCGACTTCTACCTACAACATAAAAGAAATGCAGCGATGGGGCGAGGGGAGCCTAAAGACAGGATTAACTGGAGCCCAACGACAAGCACACATAAACTTAATTTTCCTTACTTACAGTTCAATCAGAGAGTCTAAATCACTGAAGACATCCCTTGGGAGCGCTTTTATGTGGTTATTGGCCAAAGAACTAGAACAAGAAAGTCGTATTTTAATGTGGTTATTATCCTCATGCCCTGTCACTCCAAAGTCCCTTAAACAAAGCTAATGATTTAAAACAGAGCTCTAAACCTCTTCAGCCCAACGCCGTTGAATTTCTGGCTCTGATCATCGATACCAAGATCAAGAAATGAGTTTTGTTACACAAAGACAGCACTATAGATGCTGGAGCACAATGTAAGGTTTTTCTCTGTGTGTTTAAAAAAGGCAATTATTAAGCTCTTTATTCATATACACTTATCAAACTTTGGATGGTATCTTCTGTTTCTCAGAATAAGAGCCAAAGTCCCCTTGATGACACTCAAGACCCTCCATTGTCAAGTTACCCCCATTCCCATGTACCTATGGGACTGAATCTCTGACTACTCAGAACACCCACACTGGCCCCTTGCTATTGCTCGAATAGTCAAGGCACGCTCCCACCCTGAGGCCTCTGAGCTTGTGATTCCTCTGCCGGAACATTCTTCCTCCAGATACCCACACAGCTCACGCCACCATCTCTTTTAGGTCTGTTCTCGATGATCACCACTGCCCTGACCTCTACTACCTCCCCCCTCCCTGCTCTGTTGATCTTCACTGCACGACTGTCCTTGGCATACTACATATTTTAATTACCTGTCTGTTTCTTGGCTGTGTATCCTCCCTATACGTGAGTGACACGAGGACAAAGGGGTTTGTGTTTGTCCACATCTGTATCCCTAGCATCTACACAGTGCCTGGCCCAGAGTGGGTACTCATTAAGTCTTTGTTGAGTGAATGAATGACACACGTAAGCCAGAGAGGTACAAGAAAAGATGTACAGTCCTGTCCAAGAAGTTCCCTCACAGCCCATCAGAGTGAGTTCTATTACTTGTGACTCTACGAAGGGATTCCGTAAATACTCTTTTACATAAAGATGCTCAGCCCTAACCCCATGATAATATAAAATCTTAGCGGACTATAATGTTCAGGGTATAACCGACTGCGATCAATTTTTCTTTCTCATTAACGCAGGTTGATCAGAAACCATTTAGCATTTTTGCTCTTAGTGTTGAAGAGCTTTCCAAAATGTCCTAGTCTGCTCCCCCTCTCCAGGAAGAACGAATATTGTCAACTCTTTTTCTGATGATTCAGGATCACACAGTGCCCTGTCATCATCCTGCTGAAGATGAATGTCCATGTGCTGGGCTGTTGACGTAGAAAGATGCGGGGTGTTGAAAGACGTACATCGAGTCTGTGCTTCGCCTCCTGGGGCATCATGCTCTAATGTGAGTCAGCCAAGAAACTGATGCCTACTTTTGTGGGTTTTTTTTTTTACATGGGTGAGTACAGACGGCAAGACTCATAAATGATAAATAGGCAGGCAATTCAGCATCAACCTCTTTAAAAAATATATATGAAATTAGCCTTTTGTAGCATCCTGGTGACCCACTCACTGCAGAAAGAGGAATTAAAGAAATGGGTCTTCCTCCCTCCTCAGCAGCAGCTCACAGAGAAAGCTCTGAGCCCATGGTAACCTAAACATTCTTGCTGTAAGAGACCAAGAGAATATGGGGAGACCTAATCATTTCAGAAGTATGTGCTTTTCCACCTTGGTAACAATAAATGGATTAAAATACAATCTCATCTATTATTTTACCTTTCTTTCCTAAATGATTAGTACATTTTTAAAGATGTTGGAAAATAGGCTGAATGTGTAATCACACTGAACATAACCTAGGAGAAGCTACCTGAAATTAAAAAAGATGTCTGTCTTGTTTTTTTGCTGGTTGATGGTTGCTTTTTTTAGAAAGTCCAAACAATTGTTTTTAGCTATTAAAGATTAATCATTTAGCTAAATATTTTTAGTTAATTAAAATGCATTATACTGAAGTGACAAGAATATATGGAATGGTCAAAGCCAAAAAAAAAAAAAAAAAAAAGCAGTAGGTTGAGCAACCTTTCCAAGTGTTCAATTTAGATTTCAGGAAGCCAAATTATTTAGATGGACTATCCGCCCCACTCATGCTAAGTGCATAACATCTCACTTTCCACTTCATTTTGTCTACAAATTTATGGCACTTACTTCATTTCTGAAACTACTTAACGGCAACCTGTCCCTGGGCTTTATAAGACTGCTGGAAAACAAATGTCCTAGATTTTAGTTACAGATTGGGTCTGCTTCTTCGATGCTTTGAAACCTGATCTATGTTTCTTGAGAATAAGAATGTGAGCCTGTAGGTGTTGGGAAAATCCATAAAAGATAAAAAACAGATACTTAAGCAAATTCCAGATAGTGACTTCTTTGCTCTCTTTGCTTAAGTGTTTACAAAAACAGGGAGGAAGTGGGGAGGCCTGGTTCATTCGTTAAACAATCTATTAAATGCTTTAATTACTACCTACATCTCCAACCTAAGGAGTCAATTTTAAAAGTCGGTTGACTTGCCCAGAAGCAGACTTGGTAAGGAAAACACAACTCAGTGAGGAACTAACTCATTGATCAATCAGGGAATCGGAAAGAAGGTCTTGCTGGCCTTCAGCCCTGAGCTAGACGCTGGGAGAACAGAGTTAATGAGCCATGATCCACCTGGGCCCTGCCCTCAGGGAGCTTTCATTGCAGCTGGGGAGATGAAAACTGACATCATGAAACAGTACCAGCCAGTACGGCCACTGCGGCTGGAAAGTGCTGGGTGCATAGAGCCAGAGCAAGGGCTACGGGATGGCAGGGCGGAGATTAAGAAGGCTCCATCGGAGGGACAGAACTTAATCTGCACTTTGAAGGAAAAGCAGATTATAGGAGATGGAAGATAGAAGAAACAACATCCTGGGCAAGGGAAGAGATGTGAGGAAAGGCCCGGTAATAGGATGAGTTGGGTGTGCACAAGAGATCAATGTTCTGCAGACATTTCAGGAAATGAGCCCCGAGAGCTAGGGAGAGGCGGCTCCGGAGGCTTCCCTGCAGGATGGCAATGCACACTGGGATGGATGCATTATTGCAGTAGAAGTACTCTGGACCTGGGGCACCTAGGTGGCTCAGTCCCTTAGGCATCTGACTCTTGATTTCAGCTCAGGTCATGATCTCAGGGGTCATGAGATCAAGCCCCGTGTCGAGCTCTGCACTGGGCATGGAGTCTGCTTGATTTCCCCCCTCACTCTTCCTTTATCCCTTCCCTCCTTTCCTCCTCCCATGTACATTCTCTCTCTAAATAAAAAATAAAAAAAAAAAGAAGTAACCAAGCAAAGGACTCTTGCTTTCTACATGTCACACAGAATAGCAGGTGGCTCTTGACACGTATGTACATGTTATATACACGTGTGTGCACAAATAACAAGCATGCACACACGGTTATGTACACACACAGGGTACACAGGTATCTGCCCACGTATAGAAGTCTATGCATCCCTGAGCAAACATGTGCAAAGATACATGCATGGTCACACCTGTGTTCAGACCAAGGACCCATAGCCAATTGGCCAAATGAAAATTGACATCTGGGCTAACTCAGCTGGTCACATGGACCTTGTTTAGGTTCAGGATCTGCCCAGAGTTTTGTTAAAAAAACAAAGCCCCTCATTCCTGACTTCTGGGAACCAGATTTATCTGGCCACAGCTGTTCCTCTCCAGACACCCACAGCTGTCTTCTTAGCGGACCCTGTCTGGCGGCTCACACTGCTAAGGCAACTCAACAGTTCATGGATAAAATCGAAGCTTCTTAAGGAGCGGAGGAACTCAAAGATGTTGCTGTTGATGATGACGGTGGTAACCACGCCAACCATACCTTGAGCCCTCAAGCATTTACCACAGGTAATGGGCTGGATGCTTTGCAAGTCAGCATTAACCCACCATGTGCGCCAATCCTATGGGGTCAGTATAATCACCCCTTATCTTCAGGATAAGGAAACTGAGGGGATCCCTGGGTGGCGCAGCGGTTTGGCGCCTGCCTTTGGCCCAGGGCGCGATCCTGGAGACCCGGGATCGAATCCCACGTCGGGCTCCGGGTGCATGGAGCCTGCTTCTCCCTCTGCCTGTGTCTCTGCCTCTCTCTCTCTCTCTCTCTCTCATAAATAAAAATAAAAAATAAAAAAATAAAAATAAAAAAAGATCTTATTAAAAAAAAAAGGAAACTGAGGCTCAGAAAGGCTAAGCAATGTTCACAAATGATGTCCTTGAGATTTGAACCCAAGTCTACAAGACTCCAAATCCCTTATCTTACCCTCTACAGGAATATGGGGATTTAGTATCTGGGTTCAATCTGAAAAAAAACAAAATGAAACAAAACAACAACAACAAAGCGAAACTTTTCTGGAAAGGAAGGAACACCTAGAGCAATAATGGCAATGAGAGGCTACGCTCTCCGGAATTGATGGTGCCAATCCAGATGTTTGTACCTCCCACATCCCTCCCTCATCTCCGTACTCCACAAGCTTTATTGAACTCAGGCAGGCCTTCTGCTTGGTAGGCTTCGAGAACCAAATGCTCGTGAGCCTGTTGACAGACACCTTTGCCTGTCTCAGGGTTTGATGTAAATGATTATCTCTTCTGATGGGTATCAGCCTGGGCTCCACCTGCAGAAGGCTCTATCACCCCTGCCCCAAATCCCCACTTGAAGGCCTCCTATTCTCCCAATATTCTTTCCATGACCGAGATGAGACATTTTATCTTAATCACAAACTATCTATCAAGCACACGGGCCCTGCTCCTGACTAATAAATTTCTCCTCCCAAGACAATGACTATTTTTACATTTCCGTAAACATGGCCACAAGTTTTTTCCACTTTTCTAAATTTGCCAAGTGTGCATAGTTGCTTCATTCCGATATGCCAATTCAAATCAATTTGTTTAATTTTTTTTCCTCCAGAAAGCTATTAAAGAAGCCAGAGAGCTTAGCTTAAGCTGCAGATTAATCCAACATAAAAGAAAAAGCCATTTGCATTCAAATGAGAGGAGCCACAAAAATGTCTCTATTCCACTTCACCCTAATTTTGAGCCTGCAGTCAACATTCTTCAGTGACTCCCGGGAGCCTCAGTTCCCAAATCTGTAAAATGGAGATGTGCTAAGTGTGGCGAAAGATAAAGAGAAGGCTCACGAAGCACACAGCCTGGGCTGGCTGCTCAGAGAGGGCTCCTTGTGTCATACGTACACTCACGTGGTCCATCAGGGCCATTCAGGATGATGGAACAGATAATGAAGCCGAGTGCATGAGTAATGACATCCCATCAACAACCCAGAAACCTCTGGGGAAATGTGGAAATGAGTTTCCTTGAGAAAATGCTAGCAATATGGACAACGGAGTCAAGAAAGAACAAGGCACCAGGAACTGGATCTTCCTCTACCCATTAAAGGACTCACAACGTTTTTCATAGGACTTACAGGTGAGTCAGGTCACGGAGGCCACGAAAGGCATTTCTTGAAATGGTTTCTATTTTGTTCCCTTCGATAAACCTAAAGAGAAGAGCGAATCATTCAGCTGGATTTTCTCTACTTAATATCTCTTAAAAAAAAAAAACGATACTCGGAACAAAACCTAAAAGCATGCATGAATTTTAAAAAATTCATCTCTAAGGATCAGGTCAGCTGCACCAGATGCCAAGTGGGAGCGGGGTTTGTGCGCAAGAATGCGTGCACACAAGGCCATGCTCTGCACTCCCTCCAGCAGCGGCATGGAAGTCTTCACATTCAGAGCTGGCAACGTGGGTCACAACATCTTGGGGGTGGGGGTGGGGGGTGCTGGAAAAAAGAATGCCCTGTACAAAGGCAAGAAATTCTTAAATCTCTGCAAGGCTGGAATGCCTCCAGACATCTTCCCCACTCCAACCTTCTTGCATTTCACAGCGCCCGGCTATTAATACTTTCATTAATATTGTTGTCTCTTGAGGGGAGCCCATTGTTTTATATCTCGGTCTTAAAGTTCTTGCGGAGGGAGAATTCCATTAAGCTCAGCTTCTGGCAAACTTGACTTCAGCATGTCCTGCACGATCTAATCCTTGAACAAATGGGGAATGAGACAGGGATTCTCGCAAGATCTCTAAGCCACTAGGAAAGAGGAAACATAATGAAGCTGAGCATGGGCCAAACTTCTTGCTCTGTGCTAAACTGGCTTAGGGCTTGCACACAGGACCTTGCTGGGATAACTCTGACCATGCTTTAAAGTCTTTATGGGAAATGCATGAAGGGAATGTGCTCCAACTCTTCCCTAGGACCACAGGGAACTAAATTTTCCTTTACGGCATCCCATTACATCAAATGTAAGAGGGTCTCTCAGGAGGTTGTCCAAAGGAGAGGCTTTGCGACACGAGGCCATTCGTTAGTGAAATGGTCCTTGATTCTTGGGCTGATGTCTGTTTTTGTTTTTGTTTTAATCAGGGGTCTGTTCAGTAACAGACTTCAGTACAGACAGATAAGCAAACTTCCCCTCAATAACCTTGGCAGTAAGATGAACCACTCACAGGAGAAAACCGATAGCTTTACATCTGCTACCTCCATCAGCCGTTCGTGGGCTTTGCTAGAACCTAGTTGGGCTTTAGCACTGGAGTCGTAGCCTGCTTTCCGTATTCCGTATACTATCAGGCTGCTATGAAACTATACCTATTATGTGCACCCTGGAGAAAAAAAAATCCTTCAGAGACATCTTTCCTAAGGACATAGAATCAGCAGTTTTCTTAGACTCAGGATGTGTTTAGAATTCAAACATCTACCTGTTAACCTCAGATAAGAACGCAGAGACAAGGCTTTAAAAATCCCTCTGAATGCTAAGTAAGGAAATCCCATCTGATAGCAGGATTAATATTATTACAAAGTTACAAAAGACAAGGATGAAAGCATTTAAGGGGGGAAAAAAGACATGAAGTGGGGGTGGGGAGAGGAAATGGGAAACAAAATCAGGAAACGAAATCAGAGCAAGGGCAAAGCTCATTGCTAGGGGAAAAAAAAACCCTGCAACATCTGAAAAAGGAAGAAAAAAGAAAACAAAAAATAACCCTCTTCTTTTAAAGAAGAAAAAATAAAATTAGGCTCTCAGTAGCAGCTCACAGGAGATACTGCAAAGGGGAAATAGGATCGCCCAATTAAAAACGTGGAGGGTATCCCCATACAGGGAGACTTCTCTTAAAAAAGAGTAACCCTCGGAATCCTTCAGCTTTATTTCTGGCCGATCAGCAAATCCATGCCTAGTTATGAGAGGTAAAAATATCCAACGCAATTTCCAATTGTGCTTACTACACGCCAAATTAAATGTCAGCAGAGAATGAATAGGCTATCTTTCCTTCTTTGTTTGCTTTCACCCGCTTTGTCTCCAACCTTCTCCTGTCCCAGCGTGTTTATACACAAGTAAACTATAAAAAGGTCAGTGCTGAAAAGAGAATGGGGTTTTCTCCATCTTCTCCACCCCTAAGCTCCCTAAGAGATGCCGTTCCTGCCTGGAAAGCAATACAGCAATTCTGTGGACATACCAAATGCTCAGCAAAGGGACAAGGCACAGAACTTACAGGTACTCGAGATGGAAAAGTCCAGCAAAAGCATCATCCCGGATGACGGTAAACGAGTTAGAATTCAGCAATCTGGAAGCACAGGAGAGATTTCAGCGCAGAGATGTACATCTTGACTACCACAGGGAAACCCTTTCTGTTTCTCTCACTGTCTTTTGATCCAAGGCAAACATGGGCTCTTCTCAGCCTACGGCTGGCTCATGCGGTGCACAGCCCAACTCAGGGATGGCAAGTGGATTCCTCTGGGCTAGATTTTCTGGTCACCCCCACTACTCCTCCCTTTCTTCCCGTGGGTCTCAGTAAATAAGACCTGCTAACTGTTATCTCAAAACATTCTAATGCTCAGCACAACTGAGCAGCCAGTGAATGATTCATCATGCACTAGCAATCATGGACTCAGAGATCTAAAAGGCCCTAATCCGACTCTTTCTTTTAGGGAAACTGGTGCCTAGAGAAGTTAAGTGACTTGACCAAAGTCACAAAGCTGAGACCAAAAAAATAAAAAATCCTTTCTTCTAATATTATACATTCCCGGGAGAAGTAATAAAAAAGTCTAAGAAATGTTGAGAAGACTCTTTATCAGCACATAGGTTTCTATTAGGCACCACTTCAGTCTATCTGGTGAAATACCTAAAACTGTATTTCCAGCACAAAGAAAGTATATTTTAATAGAACCACAATTTCCAAGAGATCACAGACTTTAAAACGTTAAGTACAATGTTCTAAGTAAGGTCCATAACGTTCCAAGAACAAAAATATCAACATAAAGTCTATTTAGGATGAGAAGTGACCTCCCATAGGGTATTTCCTCATATTTTTCTGTAGTACATTGCTTATTTTTAATCTCATCTCAAGTTTGAGGAACAGAATAAACAGAATGAGCTATGTACTCATGACCTTGCCTATCACTGACTTGCTTTTGAAAACTGCTTTTTGGACATTTCTTTTCATCAGCAAACAATAACTGAACTGGGATACCAGGCATGACATGAGGACTCGCCAAGAGCGGCTGGACGCAGAGCAGTTACGAGTGTGGGTTAGAATTCTGGCTGAGGGCGGGCGGCGGGTAGGGGAGGGGGCTGTGTGGCTCAATCTGTTGGGCGGTTGAGCATCTGACTTTTGATTTCCTTGATTTCGTTCAGCTTAGGTCATGATCTCAGGGTCTTGAGATGGAGCCTCTCGGGGCTCCACGCTCAGCAGGGCATGTGCTTGAAATTCTCTTTTTCCCCTCTCCCTCTCCCCCTCCCCCAACTCACGCTCTCTCTTTCTCTCTCTCTCAAATAAATAAATCTTTTAAAAAAACAAAAAGAATTCTGGCTGGGACTTTGCACAAGTTACTTAACTTCTCTGAGCCTTAATTTTCTTGTCTGCCAAAGGGGGAAATAAAAATGCTCTCCTTGTAGGGATGATTAAATAAAAATTTCCATATAAACATATAGTATGGGGTGCCTGGGTGGCTCAGTCAGTCGAGCATCTGCCTTTGGCTCAGGTCATGATATGAGGGGTCCTGGGATCGAATCCTGCATCGGGCTCCCTGCTTAGTCAGGAGCCTACTTCTCCCTCTCCCTCTGCTGTTCCCCCTGTTTGTGTTCTCTCTCTATCTCTCTGTCAAATAAATAAGTAAATCTTTTTAAAAATGTATAGTATGTTGTCCAATAGTTTCCATACTCGGTCAACTAAAAATACTTCTATTTCCAGAGATACATTAAGAGTCTAAAATGTAGGGTTTCTTTTCACGTGAGGTGTTTGAGAAGCACTTGATCTAGGTGAAATTCAGATGATCATTCAGTGTAATCCTGTCCCCAGTTACCAAACACGGCTGTTGGTATCTATGATAAAGTCCTTGAGAAACCCTTTGTCAAAAAAGGACAGAGAGACACTGAGCAAAGACCCTGAGACTCAGCTAGTGGGGACACCATGGGACAAGTTAACACCGAGAGTTTACTGGGGTATCTGAGGAAGGAGTGACGCCAAAGAGGCAGAGATTGCTCCTCCCAGGACTACACCTTGAGGATGCCCGTTGTCAGAGAGAACTTCCCATACTCACAGCAGCTGCAGGGAAGGCAGATGGGAAAACATTCGGTCCTTGATTTCCAAAAATGTTCCATTTACCAGGCTCCTGGAGGCAAAAGAGAGCAAAAACAAGGCCTAGGGTTGTTTTTTGTTGTTGTTTAGTTCTTAGAAGTGATTGCAGGATGGGCAACCGGTCTCATCCTCCACCTGTATTTCAAGCTCCTCCACTCAGGAACGAGGCTTTAAATAGTCGTCCAGGAGCTTCGCAGGGGTAGAAACGAGAACAGTCAAGCCATTTTCCAACGCACCGGATCAATATGAAAACTAGTCTGAATAATAGAAACCTTTACCATCAGTCTAGCGCCTTCCACAGACATTATCTCAGCAAGTTGAAATCAATCCCCTCACTTCCTTTTCTTAACTACAGGAGGCCCTGGCTGAAAATGGATAATTAGTTCACCTCTGCCCATGATTCTGTTTGTGTAGACACAGCATTAATGTCAGCAGGGGAAACTCCCGGGTAGGATCAAGCATCCCCCTTGGGAGCACATCTCTGAAAGACACTCAGAGCGCTTCTGATTAAATGCACTGTGAAAGCCTTGGGGAAAAAAACTCAAGAAACACCTGAACTTGAATGTGCGGTGGGAGGCAATGCCATCTGCCAGATAGAATGGTCAATGCGGGGGGTTGGGGGGGTGGTGGGGGCAAGCCGTTGGACTCCCGTCGCCCCCAGGCCCCCTGTCCTTTCTGGCCACCGCAGGACCTCAGCACATTAGTTCTAAATGATTTCTGTTAACATGCAGATCAATTAAGCAGCTGCTGTTCTAAAGGATTTAACAAGGGGAATTCTAATTTCTGGAATCCTCCACGTCACTTGACTTAGCCACATTAGGAATCCAATAGGTCCTCTGTTCCCGCCGGCAGACCCTCCTGAGTTTCTCTGAATGCACTCGGGACCCCCTTCAGCCCTGCACCTTGTCCGAGGTGGGAGGCAGGGCGGGGTAGCTCAAGGGACTCGGGCCACTCCACCCCTGGGACTCCCTGCCTCTGTGACTGAGCGAGCATGGGCTCAGCTCCCTGGCCTGGCAGAGGAAGTGCTTTCGGCCGCCAACACTTCCCAGCAGTACAGACAGGGCCCGGTCGCCCCTGGTCGCCCCTGGTGGCCCCTGGACTGCGGTTAGGAGAGCGGCAGTGGGGCTTGAGAGGCTGGGCGAGGGCAGGTTGAAAGCACCTCCCGGCAGGTGCAATTCCTCCAGGGCTGGAAAAGCAGCCAGCATCCTGTGCGGAGGGAGGGGCAGGGGGCAAGAGGCCGGGCCGCCCTGCAGCCCCGGGCCCTGGCCTGGGGGCCGCCCGCGCCCCGAGCTCTGCCGAGCGAGCGCGTGCTGCCCCCTCCCAGGCCGCACGAGGTGGCCCCCCACTCGCAGGGCTGCCTGCCTTTCCTCGGGTTCTTCCCGACCTGCAGCGCGGACGGGTCGGGGAGGCCAGGGGGGTCCAGCGCCCCCGACGCGGGGTGGGCCGGCCAGGCCTCGCCCCCGCGGCCCCGGCCCACCCACCCCTCCTCGCAAACTTCCACGCGCCCCGGGGTCCCGCGGGGCGCCACGCGCAGACTCCGGGGCTCGGTTCCGCGCGCGCCCGGGGGTCCGCATCGGCGCGAGCCTCCCCACCCCGGGACGCGGGCGTCCGCGGCAGGTGGCCCGCGGGCCACACTCCGGGGAGCGCGGCCGCAGGGGCCCGCCCGGGGTTCCCCCACCCTCCCGGGGCCCCGAGGCTCCACCCCGTCCCGGAGCGCGCGCCCGCTCCCCCGCGCGGGCAAGAGGCCGGGCCGCCGCGGAGAGGGTCGCGCGGGGGCGGCGGGGGCGGCGGGGGCGGCGGGGGCGCAGGCACTCACAGGGAGCTGATGTCGCCCGGCACGGTCCTGGGCACCCAGGAGGAGCCCACGCAGATGATGGACTCCTTGGTGCAGCTGCAAGTGGCGGGGCAGCGCGCCAGCCGCCTCACCTGCGCGCCCGGCCGCACGAGGCTCGCGGCGCCCAGCAGCAGCAGCAGCAGCAGCAGCCGCCCGCGCCCCGCCCGCCCGCCCCGCCGCAGCGCCATGCCCGGCCGCCGCCGCCGCCGCCGCCAACGCCGAGGGCCCGGGCGCCGCGGGACTGCCAGGCCGAGCCGCAGCCGAGCAGCGCGCCGGCCCCGCGCCCGCCCCCGCCCCCCGCGCCCGCCCCCCGCGCCCGCGCCCCCGCCCCCGCCCCCGCCCCCGCCCCCGCCCCCGCCGCGCCGCGCCCGCCTGACATCAGCGCCCGCCGCCCGCCCGGCCAATGACTACGGCGGGGCCCCCGCCCGCGCCCGCGCCCCCGCCCGCGCCCCCGCCCGCGCCCCCGCCCGCGCCCCCGCCCGGAGCTCCCCGGACCCTCCCCGGACCCTCCCCGGAGCCGCGGGGGAAAAGTTGGGCGACCTCGGCGGAGGGGCCGCCCCGGCCCGGGACCCCGCGCCCCTCCCCCGCCCTGGGCCCCGGGGGCTCCGAGCGCGCGGGAGGCGGGGGCTGCCTCCGCCGGGACCAGGGCCGCCCCCGCCCCCCCAAGAAAAGTAGGACCCAGGAGCGGGGAGCTGGCGGGACGGCCGCTGCTCGGGGAGGACCCGCTGCGAGCGGGCTTCGGGGAGGACTCGGGAGTCCGCGGTGCCGGCGCGCCCGGGGTGACCCGGGGCAGCCCCCCCCGGCCCCCCGCCCCCCCCGCCGAGGGGATGGGGCAGAACCGCGGCTCGGCGGTGCCCGCTGCTGGGGGTGGGGGGGCTACCGCCGGCCCCAGAGCTCCAGAGCCCCCCCCCCCCGCTCCCTGCGGGCTCACGGGCCGCGCACCCCCCCCACCCCAGGGACAGGATGCGGACGGGCAGACGTGGGGGCCCCGTACATCCCGGGCGCTGCTGCCTCTCCCCCTCCGCTAACCTGCCGAGGCAGGTCCCGGCCATCTCCCCAATTCACCGATGGGGAAACCGAGGCCCAGGAAAGGCCAGGCGCGGGCCGGCGGGCGGGGGAGCGCGGGGACTGGGACCGCGGCCCGCCCGCGCCCCCCCTGCGCGCCGCACCCTTCACGCGCTGAGCTGGGGTCTTCCCGCAAGGCGGTGCGCACTGAGGGAAGCAAAGAAAATGGCCAGAGAAGGACCAAAAACAAGGGCCAAGAGCCCAAGCTGCTCAGGGGACGGGATCAAGGGCACCATCCAGGCTACTAGCCCGGAGGAAAATCATTTTTGTACATTAGGGTACACCCAGAGGGGCGCCTCTTGGTTTGGGCTCAGGTTCTGATCGCAGGGTTCAAGGATGGAGCCCTGGACCCGGCTCAGTGCGGGTGTGGAGCCTGCTTCAGATTCTCCTGCTCCCTCTGCCCCCCGCCCACACCCAAATAAAATAAAATCTAAAAATCTTAAAAAAAAAAAAAGAAGAAGAAGCAGCAGCAGCAGCATACCCAGAAGAGGTAGCGCCTGATAGAAAAGGTTATTACAATTGGAATCATCAGTTATCACTGTCTCTTGAACATTTGGAGCACAAATTGGGCTGGCCACCGTGGGAGGGGACCAGGGGACAGGCCAGGGGGTTCCTCAGGGAGCTTGAAGTCCAGCTGGGCAGATGGCCCTAAAGAAGTGACACCACGTGGTCCGTCCGTGGGGTTACTGTCCCAGCAAAAGCGGCTCGGGAACTGAAAGCGACCTTGTTATAGGTGACCTGGCGGAGGGAGTTGGACACTCATTGCAGGGCACTGCTTATCCGGCCCCAGCAGCCACGGCAACCAGCCTACACGCAGCATCATCTAATTCCCGCATCTACTCCGGGAAGGGGCTCTCCCCATTTTATAGATGGGAAACCTGAGCCCAGAGATGCTCTTCTCTGGCCCAAGGTCACACAGGACATTGGCAGGAGGACCCTGCTCCAGGCCCCGCGCTGTGTCGCGCCCTCACTGCTGTGGTGGCAGGCATCCCACAGACGCTCTACCCGCCGGCCCAGCCTGGTGCTGGGGGCTGAGGACACAGACACTCGGGAGGGCCACAGGCGCGAGGACCCACCCCGGGATGTGTGTCCTGCACGTCAGAGACACCTGCCTCAGGAGGGATGGGCTGCTGCTTTATGGAAAGGAGGGGCGAGTGCCTTCCTGCTGCCCCAGGCAAAGAAACTGGTTCTCAGCCCTGGGGGTGCAGTGAGGGGGAGAGGGTAGAGAAGGAAAAGCCCCTGTCCCCAGAGCTAGACAAGTCTGGGTTCGCACCCCAGCCTGCCGCTCACCGGCTGTAACTGGAGGCAAGTTACAACCTCCCCAAGCCTCGGTTTCCTCACCTGTAGAATGGGAGCTGGTCGTAACCACCCTTGGGAGTGAACCGCGGTCAAAAATGTAAGGCACCCGGGACACCCGAGTGGCTCAGTGGCAGAGCATCTGCCTTTGGCTCCGGGTGTGATCCCAGGGCCCGGGATCGAGTCCCTCATCCGGTTCCCTGCAGGGAGCCTGCTTCTCCCTCTGCCTGTGTCTCTCATGAATAAATAAATAAAATCTTTAAAAAAAATGTAAAACACCCAGTGCCACACCGGAGGTACTGGGTATTTGTCCCCGGGGTCTATGTGATATTGTGGGTGGGGCAAATCTCACCCAAACCCTGGGACTGCAGGGATGGAGGCCAAGAGGGGCTCTAAAAGGAGATGAATTTTCCTAACTTTTGTGCCTCCATTTTCTTCAAGGACAAGGACACAGTCTAGCACAGTGGTTCTCAATCAGCGGTGACACCTGGCAGTGTCTAGAGACATTTTGGGTTGTCACGGTGGGGTGGGTGTGACTGGCAGCTAATGGGTAGAGGCCAGAGATACTATCAAACATCCCGCAGTGCACAGCAAAGAATGATCCAGACCAAAATGGTCCTGGTACCCAGGTGGAGCCACCCTCACCTAGTGCCCCAGAAAGACCCTTGGCATGAGGAATTCTGGAAAGACAGATTCTAGGCCTGGCCTCGCTATTCATAAGCAAGCCTTGGTTCTTATGGGTCCCATCTCCAGCCTCTATCTTTTCATCTGTAAAATGGGGATAATGAGACCCCAGTCTGTCTTTCCTACGTGAATGTGGCGTACCACCGTCATTACTGTCCTTACTGTCCCTAACCTGAAAAACCAGGAGGTTCCTGATAGGGAGAGTGCAGAGAGAAGCCCCGGGTAGCAGAGCTGGCAGGGGTGGAATTTGTTTCGGCTCCGGTAGAGACACCAAGTGAAAGCTTGTAAATTATAAGGTGCAGTTTATAAATTAAGATATAAAAATGGAAATGCAGATTACTTTGGTTTGGTTCCAAGATCTTCAGTGGTTAAAAACAAAACAAAACAAAACAAAACAAAAAAAAACCTTAATAGATCATCCGAGAGACACAATCTGTTTCCAGGAAATAGCAAGAGTTTTTCAAAATGTAGAAATCCTTGTTCAGATGTACACTTACTCCAGCTGCGCCTCCGTGACACGAGCAGGCGTTCCTACGGGGCCGATGGCAGGTGCAGGCAGCCCCAAGCGTCCTTCACTCATCCCCCTTCTCATTCAACCCCCCGGCAGTTCCTCTGGTCCACGTTGATGGAAACCCACGAGCTGCTGGGTTGGAGGTAGGCGTGAAGCCGGAGAAATGTCAAGAACGCGTCCCAGGTTTTAGCTTGAACCCGTGGCGGGTAGAGGCACCACTTCCTGAGACGAGGAAGCCGAGAGGAGAGAGCTTGGCTGGGAGAGGATATCAGCAGTTTGGTGTTGGAGACGTTGACTCTGAGATGTCCAGGGGGCACCCACGCGTGGCTGAGTTGGCAGCTAAGTGACCAGCGGGGACGGCAAGGACAGGACAGGGGGTCGGGTGGGAAATCTTCACGCCCCGGATGAAACCTCAGTAAGCCGTCAATGTAAAGTTGGTTGATTTAATGAATGAATGAGTGAATGAATGACAGTGGGAACATAGAGACAGTAAAGAGAGCATCTCTCTCAGGTGCAGCCAGCAAGGAGCACTAGAACCTCTTACAGAGGAGTGTGAATCTAAGAATATCACAGTCTGGGCATCTGTTTTTAGACCAAAAATAATCTTCAAATCCTAAAGCCGAACTGGAAATCTTGTAAGAATCTCAGGGACCTCATCCGGCTTCTGATCCCCCTCCCCGATTTCCAACCGAGCTCCACCTCCACCCCCAGCCCGTCTACTCCTCAGGGCTGTGGGCTGTGGAGAGGCTTCCCTAAGGTCAAACTCCCGCTCTGAGGCTTGCCGTCACAACCGAAGAAAAATTATTCATCCAAACCTCAAAAGCACTTGGTTTGAATGGCTACAAATTGGATTCCCTAGAGTAAAAAATATAAAACATCTCGTCCATTTTTTTTAATCATCGCGTGTGCCAATCCCTCTCTGACCACATCGCCCCAATATGCCACTCTTGTGGTTGGCCGCTGGTCAAATGTGGATGCCATTTCTGCCTTCCGTCATTTCCTTTTTTCATAAACTCAGTGGGTATTACGAGTCTGGAATTCATTCCAAATTTGCCCCGGCCTGGCTTCTTCAATTCAGGCACGTTCTCGAAGGGCTGTCTGCGGCTATCTCATGCAGTTTCCTAAATCAGCCGATAAAACGTCCTAAGGCCCCTGGCCATGGTTTCTGGTGACCCTCGCCACCACCGGTGTGGGATATTTCTCACCCAGCATCGGCTGTCCCTGCTCATGACAGTAGGTCACAATTTTGCTTTGGAGGGACTGGGTCCTTCTCAACATTCAATCCGTGTGGCTTATTTGATGAACATTTCCATCTCCTGTTGCACATATCAAGAGGAGAGCTTTCCAGAACATTCCATCCTCCCGGCCTCAGTGACTGGCGTAGCGAAGAACACATCACCCAGCTGGAGCAATCAGGGCTTTTGCTTGAAATATCGAGAAACAGGCTCGCCTTCCCACTGGTCTAGGAGTTGTGGTCACATGAGCCTGAGAACACGCATATCCTGAGAAAGGTGTCCACCTGAGAGAAAGATCTCGATGGCATTGGCTGGGCTTTGGATCAAACCATCCCAGTCAACTCTTCAGTGATGTGGGACCCTAGACTCCCTCATTTGCTCTATTAGTCAAGTATGG